AAAAAAAATGTCTTTTCAATATGTCAACAGTTTCATAGAGCAAAATTTATAATATACTCAAATCGCTTGATTTAGTCGACTAAAATGTTATATGCTGATATTCATAAAAAAGCATCTGTTCAATATAGCAATAAGTTATCAAGTATTTACAATTTGAATAGTTTTATTCCTTGAAATGTAGATAGAATTAATCTTATAAATGATAGATACTTCAAGAGTTAGTATTTTTCTTCAGAATGTGCTTCTAATCTTCTCAATCACCGTCAATTGTTGATGTTCAATTGTTTTCATCATAACTACGTGGTAATACAATTTTTGTTCACAATAATCGGCGTTTTTTGGGTATTGTTTCCGCGCCGTGCAATTATTCGCAAAACGTATTTGAGGGCACGTGACTAAAAATGATTTGACGTTGAGCGTAGCATCGGGAAGAAATCAATGTTCGCGCACAAACATGTTGTAAACTATTAGATCCTTGTTACATTCATCTGGGAAAGATTGTTCCCTTCTGTTCAACAAACATATAGGCGCCATAACATCTCTGACAACCTTTTCAACAACTAATTTTTGAACAAACCTACCTCTTCCGTCACGGAAAAAAGCTTGTCATTCATGCCCATCGAACTCAAGTAGTGTAGAAACTGAAAGATCTTGCTACTGTTTTGCTCTGATTAGCTGTAACTTGAATATTCATTAAGTGTTCCCATTACAACATTCCATCCCTTTTTACAACAAAAGTGATTAAAATGGATAAGTAGCCGTCAAAGTAAAATACCTTGACAGCCTTATCAACTGTCTCGCGAGCTCCTGACACTTCCATTACCATTTCAATAACACGTTTACGATCCTGCTCATTGAATCCGGCATGTTCGAGCACCTGCAACTGGAGATAATTCTGGCTCATAGAGAAGCCCTCGTTAGGAAGGAGTAGTGACGGAGTTTTTTCAAATACTACCGTGTTCGTTTCACACTGGCCGCGCTGACATAATATTAATGTATAATGTTTGTCATGTTCTGCGTTGTACGGTGATGGCGAAAAATCGTCTAGAACACTTGATCTTGCGCTTTTTTTCCTGTTTGTGTGCTTTTATTCAAATTCTAAATTCCTTCGTTCTCATGTCTTTTTCATGTGTAGTAAAAGTCTTGAAACTTCCTTTCAATTTATCTGAAGTTTTTGAGACTGAAGACTTACTTTTGCATCTTTTCTTAATGCATGATACGCTTTTCAAAGCTTTTACTTTATATATCCTATCGTTATTCACTTCTGTGATTTGCACAGCAAACCCTTGCTACTCTTACTTCCGTAAAACATTGCTTCGTTCCAGAGATAAGCTTTTCTTGAAAAAAAAAAGACATCATGATTAAACGGCATGACTAATTAATATGCCCTGCCACTGATATTACAGGTGATGTCGTGACGTTAGCCATATATAATCTTCAAAAGGCAAGATGGTTACAAAAGGAAATGACTAAAAGAAGAGTATTTGTATCAAAGAAGTTTTCAAAGTTGGAAAGAAGCTTCCAAAGTTGACAGCATAGTTTTATTCTTAAACTGTACCCACAATTTCAAAAATTTAATTGAACTCGATCTTTTTTTTCTGCAAAGAAAGCCTACAAATCAGCATCTATAAATTTTGCTTCGCATCAGCCATATTGCCATAAGTAGTAAACCCAAGTTTACCATTCGAGGCAAAGTTGAGTTTACTAATTTCAATCGCAGGTCTGTATTTTAAAAAATTTCTCATAATGCAGCGGAACTGCAGCGCACCCATCACAAGATCACCTTTAGGTGAATAATGGTCAAACCCTGCGCCCTTGTGGAGCGCGGCATTTTACCAGCAAATAGTTCGTTCTACACTAAAATTTTTCTCCTTCGAAGATTGCACTGTTTTCCCTGCTTATTCGCTAAAATGTTTTAGAATATGGCTACTACTCCGATATTCTCTATGAGACAAAAAAGGAGGGCTGAACTGGCTGATTCGAGCCATCGCCACCGAGTTCTCCGGACTCGGTTGAAGGCAATCAATTCGATCAAAAATGAAACACTAGTTTATACCCATGACTGTTATAGCGTAAATCATGGAAACCAAAGTGTACTCTTAAATTTAGCCGAATCAAATGTTTAGGTCAAGGAGAAAAGAATTTAGGTGCGGGCGGAAAATGCTAAGTTAAGAGGCTATTAAGATTTCTGCTTCCAGTGCTGTCTAAAGTCATCTTTTCGTTTTTCTTCAGATCGTCTTGAACACTGAGACAACAACGACGATCGTGGCCTTTACAAAATTACCCCAGGGATGGGGGTATAGAAGTAGCATAGAGTAATACGATTTTACTCATGTTGTTCAGATGCTGAGATATTTAGCTTTGTCGCCCTATGTACACCGCAGGTGTACCGCATGAAGCATCCTAGCTTCAGGCGACAATGTATCAAAAGTTATCCTCTCAATTTGTAATTTCTACTACAATAAAGCGCATCTTAGCTCAGCATCTCTTTCGAAACTGGGCTTACAAACGTCTTTTCCTTCTAAAAAGAGTCAATTACATCAAGAAAAGAAAGATTTGCGTCACAATGTTGGCCAAGCCGACAAGGCAATATCAGATTGGAAGAAGCTCAACAACATGACTATTTCATGTTGTTAGTGGTTCTCTCAATCTGATACTGTGACAATATAGATTGCACATCTATTCGTTCATCTATACCTTTGAACAGTTAATTCCTCTTACAGCAGGCAGTTCTCTCCTATGCTAATTGATAATGTAAAATCATTGCCGAAAATTACCAACAGTTTTAAATACGTTCTCAGTCGTGCCAAACTTTTAGCTTATGGGATCACAAATACTCGGTTAAATCATGAAAGAGGAAGGGGGGGGGGGGGGGGGGGGGGGGGGGGGGGGGGGGGG